TTGGATAACACTTGAAAGAGATAATCTTGCTAAAGATATAGGTATGAAGGACAGGATAAAACAAAGAGTTACCCAATGCTACACAACTGGCTATTTTCATGTTGTAACATATGTAACTGGTCAAAGAGAACTATTGTGTTGTATGAATATAAAAGCCCAGTCAACTAAAGTAGATCAAAACAGCCTAGCCCTAGATATGGGGAGGATAATACTTTCTCCTACTCCTGAGACAGTAACAAAGACACAGAGCAGCCCCACAAAAACAGACTGGTTTGATAAATTCTATATTTTCCCCCACACACAGTCTAAAAGCTGAGGGATTAAAATTAGGAAGGGTGGGGATGAGTAAGTCACTCTCTGTTGAGTTTGTGAGGGGGCCAACTCTACCTGCTGCTTAAGAACGATGTGTTTCCCAGGAGGGAAAGTCTGAGTTAGTTGTGCTAAGTGTACAAAGCCACTTAGTAAAATATGTAGCTTGGCACTAAGAAACCAGGACAATGTTTCATTTAGCCAGTCTAATATCTTCTTTCTCTGGCTGGAATCAGGAGATCACTTCTGTGTGTATTTCCAGCACACACGCCTCTTTCTGTCTGGCATCTTTTAGATAATCTGAATTTCAGTTAAACAGATATTCCAGAATGTTTCATTCTGGAAAAACAGTGAAACAGTTGAATATGTTCACTGCAATGTGTTCTAAATCTACAGCTTGTTAATTCTTCTCCAGTATCACACCTTGAATATTTTGATAGGAGTACTACGCCATGCAATAAAACAAAATACCTTGTTCATGGAACGGGAAATCATTCATTTTCTTTGATAAGAATTTGTTCTTCCCCTTCCTGATTTTAGTGTGATATATTTGAAGCCATTCCAATTAGAATAAAACAAAGTTACATAACTCGAAGTGGAGAAAACTTTGCGGAATGACTCCAGAATGATGCTTTTAGTCTTCTCTCAAGCATGGAATGAAAAAAGAAAGTGCCATGCCTCATGTTTATACCAACACATTTTACTGGAAAGTTACTAGGCCATACTTTGAACATGACTGGGAAGAAGGGCTGCAGACTTGCCTATAAACGTAGCACTGAACTGCTATTCATTAAAATAGCCCACTCCTCCCCTTTTCAGGCTTTTGTGTGAATCCAGAAAAAGAAAAAAAAAGTTTTAGCCTGAGACTTCAAGTATCTGCAACCTTTTATTTTATTTTTTGGCTTCACACAACCTTAACAACTAGAAGACAAGTATTGTGGTTGCAGTCACATGAGCTTGGAAGCACTTCTTTCAAATCATTTTGGAAACATGTGCCTTCCCAAAAGCTATGATGACTACATCTGACCTTGGTGATTAATCCTGTTTTGAACCATAATCCTGTGTGGGAGGCGTTCCAGTCTGCCTACTTACCTTCCTAACTTTGAAAGTATGAGTTTTTTCTTTCAGCTTCTTTCTTCAACATCAGATAATGTCTTTCTTTTATACTCCTTCAACTGCAATTTATATATTATAAACCAAGCTGACCTACGATGATAAATAAGGTAATTGCCAGCAGATTCTTTAACTCTGACTTTTAGAAGGGATACTAAAATGAGATACCTTGAAAGTGTTAGGCAACATTGAACATGATGTAATTATACTTCCAACATGCATTGAATGACTTATAGCAAAGCTATATGTGACTTGGTTTTACAGGCATTTACAACCATTGTTATGGCACTTTTACTGAGGAAAATCTACAAAGTAAATATATAATGACTTTGGAATTAATATGGTTTATCTGAATTTGACTAAGAAACCTATGTGAACTCTTGTGGTTTGTAAACCATAGTTTATGAGCTCATATATGAGCTCAGCCCAATTGTGATAAGATCAACAAACCAAACCATGACTATGGATCAATGTATTCAACCCAATGTATGTAAGTTTCACTGAAGACAACAGGATCTATGACCAATTGGAGTAAATTTGAGTTTTAAACAAGAAGCTTATTGTATTTTTCCACTGTCCAATCACAATATTTTAAAAAATGGTCACAATCCAGTCTTTCAAATTTCCAACTTTTTCAAACAATTAATAATTTTATTTGGAAATCAACCAGAAATGGTGTCAGCAAAAGTTTTCCAGTTATTCTATACATGAAAAAACAACAACTGGCAGTAGCATTTGGATCTACCCATTTTCCCCCAGACTAGATTTCTGTAAAGTTTAGAGTTGCTGGGATGGTATATAATGTAATAAATTATTGTTCCTCCTACTAGCACTTTTATTAATCTGCTATAAGCAAAATTTGTTCCCTTATCTAGTGCAAAACACAGAATTAATTTAACAGGCCACTCCTGGGAAACAAATCTCCTAAAATTAAAAAGATTGGACAAAAAGCTAATAGCTCCCACTTGTAAAGTAATTTAGAAAGGATGATATATAATGCACTTTATTTCATGGGAATACGATTAATATTAACACCTTTTAAAATTACTGCTTAGATTAGCAACCTTTCTACATGTCTTCTTCTTTACTGATATACTGGGTTCTCAGTAAAGGCAAATTAATGCTAGATATGGCTTTATTTATTCCATTCTCAGTTTTATTATTACATTATTACAATAGCCTAGTTTTAATGTCAGTTTCAAAGTAATGGCATTATATGAGGATCTAAACTACTGGCTTTCTACATAATCCAAATCTGTAACATATTTATATATGTAAACATTTAAATATATGCAAAATTCTTGAGGGGCTGCTACAAAGAAAAGGGGGTCAACCTATTCTCCAAGAACCTGAAGGCAAAACAAGAAGCAATGGATGGAAACCAACCAAGGAGAGCACCAAACTGGAACTAAAGAGAAATTTCCGGACAGTGAGAACAATTAACCAGTAGTTATGGGTGCTCCATGGAGTTTTCAAGAAAATATTGGACAGCCAGTTGTCTGGAATCTCCTGCAGGATCTCCTGCTGGAGTATGGGGTTAGATTAGCTAACCTTCCAGGATCCTTCCAACTCTGTTATTATGTAAACAGCTGTTCGATATCACGTCTAAATGTTAAGTACAAGTCTTGAAATAGAACATATAACACAAAATCTTCTCTTCATCTAAAGAAACTAAAGGGGTCATGTACTAATGGGAAAAGAAGATTTGTCCTGAACTGAAAAACTTCTATTGGCAGATTTTTTTTTTAACTCTTCCCCACCAAAACAACCATCTTCATGATTCTAGTCTGTATTTACAATGGATAATTCTGCATATACTTGTAGTGAAAATGGAGGTTATCCCTGTACAGTATATTTTTCCATCTTTTTTCTTTCTCGTTGAGTACACTTTTTCTAGGCTGCTTACTCAATTTCTTCTATCTAGCATTTGAGGAATGGGAGTGTTATTTTTTTTCACTTTTCTATTATTGCAAAACTAGAACCAGGTTTAATGTATTTGAACTCTATATAGCTTACTTTGAAAAGTTCTATCTATCCAAAGTTAAACATATTGTAAATTACATTGATACCAAGAAAGACACTGAAGCACAAATTTAAATTCCACTGAAATAAGTTTTGTGCTATGATTTAGACCCACTTAGATTTTACTTGATCATTCTTCTGTTTTTTCAGATATTCCTTTGAATTATCAACTTAGACATACTGTCTAACCTTATCTTTATAAATAAATAAGTCTATAATTGACTAATTATGCCACTTTAACAAACTCAGTGCAATTATCAGAAAGATTCTATGAAATTGTTTGATATTTTTTACTATTAGGAAAAACAAGGTACCTTTTATTTTTGAAGACAGTTAGGAAATGCTTTGGAGTTATCAAGATGTTTGATTTGAATACTGAAGATATTCAAGGAAACAACTCCTTTTTAATACCCAATTAAATCAGCAAGCACAGGAGAACAGCTGGGCTAATGAATACTGTACCCTTTTCAAGTTTACATGTAAATATAACCAATTCTTTGAAAAATGTGTGCACTTTTTTATTAAAAGCTATGTATTATCAACATTTTATTGCCAAATTGTAACTGTTTAGAATGTTGGTGGACTTTGTATTTCTTTTTAATTGTTTCTCACCTAACCAACATCAGTAAAATGAAAAAAAAATCTGATTAACAGTAAGCGAGCTATAGCTAAGAAATTGTATGCTATACTTCAAGGCCAAGTATTAAAGGCCTTAATTTCAGAATTATTTGTTCTTTCAGCAATAACTAAGAATTTTAAGGTAACATTTTTCCTTTCATTTTTTTTTAATGTGGTATGGCGGTGTGGCTCTGCAAATACTAAGAAATGTTCTTATGTCTTTAACACCATGAGGCATGGCCCTGCAAATGCTGATTAGGCATATCACTAATGAATGTTTCAATGATTTATATTGGTAAAGGTATTAATCTCCCTAGATAGTCTATACTCCAACAGACAAGGTGAACACTGCTGAATCTGTCCCTCCTTAAGAACTGGGGTAGATCTGCTCAATCGGAATGACTTCATTCCAAAATGACACTCTGATTTCCTGTGTCCTGTTCCCCACCTTGCAGTCTCCACTTCCAGGCAGAAAATAAACACAATCCAGACTAACTAGGTATGCTCCCATCCAACTCTGTTGCCTACTTGAATCACAGTGATCAAATGAATCATGATACTGTTCTTTAGAACTTAACTTGAATCTAAATTCAAGGGAATACAAATTCTTCTGATCTGTTCCATTATCCTTTCAATTCTTCATCTTCTTTCTCAATGAAAAAGAAAAGTGGCAAAAGTGGGAAACTTGTACCCACACGCATTGTTTGCAGCTTCAAATAAACAGCCTGCTCAGAACTACCCAGGCGTTATTTCAAGGGTGAGGAACTATGGCCCTTTTATGACTTGTGGACTTCAACTTCAAAATGGGACACGGTTCCCCAGCCCTGCCCTATTTGAAAGAAAATGGGCATGTCTAAGGCATCTCCTGAGGGTCTTGGTTGAAATTCCCTAAAAAAAAACCATACAGACTGAATTGACGTAAGCTTGGCAAAACTCACCATTTTCAGGCTGGTCCTTAATATCAGCTTCGCTTGGCTGGCTGGGACTTTCTGACTGACTTGAATCTAAAAGACATAAATATGGTCCAAAATTATAAGAACTGACTGTGGAAAAGTAGCCAGTTTTATAATCTGAGGCATTTTTAATAGACAAAACTTAAAAAACAAAAAACAAAATAGCCCACACAGGAGGCAAGAGGGTGATTTACATTAATGTTTAATTTTTACAGGATTTTTTTTTAATCCTAAGCCAAAATTCATCATTTAAGACTTCAAAGCCTATACAGGTGTAAGTCCTCAACTGTCAAAGTTATAATAGATCCCCTCCAAAAAGTAATTACAACCTGCTTCTAAAGTTCCAACAGTCAGACCCTCCACCATAGTCTCCACCATTCGGCCACTTGGCAACTGGTCCGCACATATGGCCATTTGCATTGGTCATGTGACTTATGACATCTTTGTCAAAACCATTTACTTCTGGTGTTTGGCAAAAATGCCCCATAGCAAACAACAGTTGTGTTGAATGATGGCAGTGTTCGCTTTACAACCAACCGGAAAAAAAGGTTGTAAAAATGGGTCCAGCCATGTGGTGACTTGCTTTACAACCATCACAACTTATGACTGTAACAGGCAGGCTCCATTATAATCAGAGCTCAAAGACTACTTTTATATTACCAGTGAGGACCTGGGCTTTGTATTCCAATGACGTTTTAATATATATAAAACATTTCTAATATTTTTATTTTTTTTAAATTTATATTTCTTAACTGCCCATCTCCCTAGGAGGAGATATTCTAATGCTATCAAAATTCATTAAAATGCTAACTACTTGCCATTAAAATATTATTTTTCATATTTATATGAATTACCTATGCTTCTATAAAAATACAGAATAAGCCATTTTAATTTATAGATCCTTCTTAGTGAATTTTAATCTGAAAAAAAAAAGCTAGAAAAATGAAATGAGGGCAATATTTTTTTCTTTGTCCTAGAAGCAGGGAAATCTTTTTTTTTAAAATGTAGCTAATATAATAGCTAGCTCCCCCCACCTTTTTTTAAAGTTAAAAGTAACCACAGAACATTTGAGCTTGATGCAGACCAATAAAGGGTGTGCAGGGGAAGAGACCAATTTCCCAAATTAAATCTAACTACCTGCCTCTTGCTTTGTCAAAGAGCAATTGGCTAAATAAAAAGATGACTTCTGGATAATGTAGAGCAGTGACCCTCAACTTTTTGGCACCAAGAACCATTTCTGTGGAGAGAGGTTTTTCCGTGGATGGATGGGGCATGGTTTTATATGCTGCCTGCATCCCACTGATGGGGCTTCACTTGTTTGCGCAACCCGCTTGCTGGCAGGCCACGGACCAGGCTTGGTGACTCCTGGTGTAGAGTATGTGTATATCCAACCCGTAATGCAAACTGGGATGAAATGGGGGATAAAGGTATAAAGCCTCGTTATGATTCAGTTTCATTGTATTTGGTTTTTTTAAAAATAACAAAATATTTACTGATTTTAAGGGGAAGCCGCCAGCCAGGTCAAGGGGAGCCGCATCCCCCTTCCCTGGGCTAGGCAATTTCCCCCCCCCAAAGATCACTGAGCGGTGGTCTAAAATGGCCACCCTGAAGAGGAGGACTTAGCTGGACTAAGATTTGTGCAGGAGAGAAGAAAGAGGTGTACAACATAAGAACTGGGACAACTTGGTGCAACAATTAATTAAAAGGTACCCCAGGACGGTATTTTAAGAATTTTTATGAAAGAATAAGAAAGCGGCGGATTTTTAAAGGGAAAGGGGAAAAAAGTGAAAATATCTTTGACAGCTGAGCAGGGCTTCGAACCAAGAATAATCTCAGCAGACTATGATACATTAAAATATTTAAAGACAACAATCATATACAAATGCTCCCCCAAGCTGAATGCCAATGTTTAACAGGGACTGAAGGGTTGGTGAAATAAAACTGTGCTCAATGATTTTCTAAGTGACACAAAGAAGAGTGCTTTACAATAAATATATCCAGAATAATAGGAGCCAGGTAGTGTACACACAATACAAAATAACAGAGTTGGAAGGAAGCTTGGCAGTCTTCTAGCCCAACCCCCTCATCAAGAAGGAGACCCCATACCATTTTCAGACAGAATTCCAGTAATGAAGCACCCACAAGCTGTTCCAATGATTATTCTCGCTGACATAAATTTATCCTTAATTCTGAGTTGGATCTCTATTGGTTAAGCTTCCATCTGTTACTTTCTGTTCTGCCCTCATATGCTTTGGAAAATAGATTGACCCCATCCTTTGGGACAGCCCATAAAATATTGGAAGATTGATATTATGTCAGCCCTAGACCTTCTCTTTCTCATACCCAATTTCTGCCAACTGTTCATTGTACGGTTTGGCCTCCGCTCCCCTAATCATCTTTGTTGCTCTTTTCTAAACAATCCCCCATCTTTTGGTATTGTATTGATTATATCGTTATTATTAAATATAAATGTGTATATAAATGTAATATATTATTATTATTAGCAATAGTTTCAAAGTGTGGGGAAGTTCAGTGTCTTTCCATTTCCCTGTAACTTTAGACTCAGGAAGAACATGAGCAGACTTTCCCCAAAAGTCACTGGATTGATTAAACTCCATTAAGGCAGAGTTTGATGTAAATGAACTCCAGGGGATGGAGGAACGTTATCCATGAGGTTGCGATGGGTCAGACAACATCAACAACAGCAAAAAAATGATATCTGTTATGCCTTCTTCTGGATCATGAAGCTCTTCAGATGGGTGGCTACCCATGGGTGGCTACCCATGCCTCGTGGTTTAATTATTGCAATATACTTTTACATGGCCCTGTCCTTGAGGATCACTTGAAAGATTCAATTGGCCCAGTTGTGGGCAATGATGGGTATACTTGAGTATGTCCAGAGGACGCCAATGCTTTGAGAGCTCGACAAGTTGCTAGCTTGCTTCAGTGCAATTCAAAAGCTGATTATGACTTCATAAGTCCCACCTAAAATACAGCACAGTTATTTGAGGGACTGTCTATCTCCCATATACAGTATCTGCCTGGTCAATTTGAGTCAAAAGGATAGTTCCATTGATCAAATATTATCATCTATATAAGAACTCAGGAAGTATGCCTCCTGTTTCAGCACTTGCCCTCTAAAAAAAATAAGATTTTTTTTAAAAACCATGATGCTGGGATTCTCCTTGTTGGCATTCCAGAGTATCATAAAGACCTGGCTATTTTCCCAGGCCTTAGGATAGGGTGGCTGGAGTCTCCCACTCAATGTTGTGGGATGTTTGAATTGTTGCCAGGTTTACCATCTTATTGTTTTTCTTGTTTTCTACTATGATTTTTGTTTTGAGTTTCTTCTTATTACATTTATTTTATTCTGTTGTGTTATTGTGAGCTACACAGATTCTCATTTTGGAATCAGGCAACATAAATAGAATGAATTAATAAACAAGTAATCCACTTAATTTTTCCATGTATTTAGTACACTGTATACCTAATGGTTTGTATGAAACTGCTTACAATGGCGTATTTTATCCTTCTCCAGAATAAGATATTTAAAAAGAAACTCTTAATAGCTGGTTCAACATTCATCCTATTTTGATATTTCATTTAAGCTGTAATGATTGCCAAAAATCCTCTTTGCAAAAACACAAATTTCAGGAAATAGTAGTAGGATCGTCAGTGACAATGCTCAGGGTTTGTGTTTGTGAATGTGTCTGTATATAACACATAGCTTAAGAAACATTTCTTTGCTATATTTTCATCTTAAAAAAATAATCACAATAACAAGTTCTCTGGATTCTGATATTTTCCACTATGTAATGCATTTTTCTTAGAACAATCTAATGTCTGTGTTTATAACATGAGAAAGGATTTCCTTTTTTCATGTTAGAAAGGCACAGATTTAAAATCTGACTGCTGATACCATATCATGGAAAGCTTACCGGATACAGGACTCAGAAAATTAAACAAGAACTTCATTGAAACAAGAACTTCATTGTCTCTCTTAAAGAAGAATAGAATTATAACAGGAAATGCTTGCTTTTACACGGACAGAAGTCATACAAAGACTACATGTTATCTTTAGCATGTCATCCCCCCCCCCCAATTTCAGCTGCTTTTGATCACACTGACCACAATATGCAGAAGACACCCAGCTATATCTCTCAAATCTCAACTAAGTGAGATAACACCAGGGGAAGGAAATGAACTGGATGAGAGCCAGTGAACAAAAACTTAATCTTGACAACAAGAGAGCAGTGTAAGTAATTCCCAAGTACAGAAAGTGAGGAAACTGAAGGGATTGCATTTTCCAGATGGAGCTTAAGGAATTGTCCCATATCCAGCTTGTCACTAGAAATCCTTTTCTTGACAGGAATGCACAGCACAATAATCCATTACTTTGCATCTTTTCCTCTCTGTTGCTTTTCAGAAGTAAATAAAGAACCTTCAGAAAACCTAAGAAAGCTTGGAAAATATTATGCTTATTTTCTATGATCTGTACTGGTTGTTTGTTTGCTTTTGAATGTATTTTATTATTTTATTTTTGAGTTAGAAAGCCAAAAATGCTTTGATACTCGAATATTAATACTGGCATGTACTAATCTGATTTTTAAGATCCTTGAAAGGAGTCCTAATTGTGGTGCCATTATTGGGAGCAACAATTCAGGTAGTTGTATCTTTGCCTAGGCCTTTCGCTTTCCTTGTTTAATATTTTGCTACCTATTATTGCAATATTTTTTCAGGTGTTTGTTTTTTTGGGGTGACACTATTATAATTATGTATATGCTATGTGGCAGTGCAGGAATCAGAATATCTAGCTAGGCTGAATTTTCTCTCTCCTTCATTTAGAACTAAGAAATGGAACTTCTAGAGATGGATTAAAAGTTAACCAAGGGGACTTTTCTGCTATGTTATAGTCCTGCGTTAGACTGTTGACATGCACGTATGCCTCCCATCTCATATCTAAAGACTCCTGTTATTAGAGGTTATTAGAAAAGAAATGGTACAGTAGGTTTCAAGACTCTAAGGATGGAATTAATATCATAAGTGTTATA